AATATTCCATTGTATATATGTACCACATCTTTCTAATCCAGTCATCTACTTTTGGGCATTTGGGCTGCTTCCATGTTTTTCCAATGCAACAAACATTATTTTAACCCTCATTTTATGAACAAAGAAACTGAGATTTGAACAGGTCTATGAACTGACCAAGGACAGACTATGGCAGACAGAAGTCCTGGGACTTGCAGCCATGCTCCCCTGGACCCCACCCTGCGCCTCCTGTGTCTCAGCCACCCTCACCTTCCCCTCTGATCTCCAGTTTGCAATTTCTGACCTTTGTCCCACAATCTTTCTGCAGGGCAAGCTTGGTGTGCCTGGTCTCCCAGGTTACCCAGGACGTCCGGGTCCTAAGGTAGGAAGCCAGAGGCCTGGGGGTGGCAAGGGCAGGGTTCAGAGACTGACTCACATCTGGGGGGTCAGCCTATGGTTTGTGTGGGTGAGGTGTCCATCCCATGGCTAACTGAGATACAATTTAAGCTCAGACCTGGACTCAACGTGCTCTTAGTGCTCTGTGACCTCAGGGAAATCACTCTTTTCTTACTAAATCAGCTAAGGCAGTTCTTGTGAGTCCATTTTTTCAATTGCAAAATGAGACTTCATCATTGGTACCAACCTCATTTGATTATAATATTGTTGATGATTTTGACAATAATAAAACCCCAAGATTCTTCTTATTTCATGATTGAGGTCAGTTCAGGAAAGAGGAGAATCACAAATCTATCTGTCTGTCTGTCTGTCTGTCTACCTACCTTGAATTAGTTATAATTCCTAAGAAAATGGAATTATGCAAAATGATGTACCTATATAAAAATGTACATTTGTTTGCCAGTTTGATGGGTGAGGCTACTGATTAGATGTTTCTTTCTGCCAAATCCAGGCCTATATTACAAGACTGATGATTTTTTGTTTATAAGGGGAGATAGATTTTTTTATAAGTGGAGCAGCAATGCAAAGACATGTGGGAAGAGATCTGCATGTAGAATCCTCAGAGTCTTTTGTTTTGTCCATCCCAGCAGGCACAGTTCCCTTGCCCACACCTAATTTGACAGTGATTTTTTTTTTAGTGACCTGCCTTTAAATGGAGTCTCGCACTTCATTTAGGTTTTCCTAGAGTCAATCACATGACTCTAGTAGCAAGGGCAACAGATATAAAGAGCTTTGGGAATAAACTCTAAAATTTGTAATAAGACTAGTACACAACTGGGAGAACTGGGGGATGTTCACAGAAGCCATGAGCAAAACCACCTGCTCAGTGCAGTCAGTGTGTGTAGGGCATTGGGCAATGACTACAAGAGCTGTGGCACGTCAGGGAAGGTGAGGTCAGTGTCTGGTCAGTTTGGGTTGCTATAACAAAAGTATCTTTTAGGCCACCTCTTAAGTAACAGAAATGTATTGATCTGGACTCAGCCTGTACAGAGTGGCTCGGAGGGGCTCACAGATCCTGTCTTTCTCCAGTTGGAGGGAGGATGTCTCCAAGATGGGCAGGATAGTCACAAATGTTGGTGGAACACCCACCTGCTCCAGGCATGGGGAGTAAGACCCAAGTGCTGTAGCCGAGAAGGGAGAGACGCTGAGTACGCAAACAAGTGAATAGGAAGGTCATTTCAATACGATTATGAGGGAGACAAAATATGTCTTATATAATGTAATGTGATAGTGACTTGGAGAACTTGGTGATCAGAGTGGTGGCAGAAGGCCTTGCTTAGAGGTGACATCTGAAAGAGATCTCAGCGATGAGGAGTCACTGCTGTGTGGGAACCTGAGAGAAGAACATTTTAGGTAAAAGGAGCACTTAATGCAAAGGCCTGGGGCAGGAGCATTTTGAGATGTCAGAGTGGCATTGGGGAGGTCAGTGTGACTGGAGTGGAGTGACCAGGGAGGGCAACCGGGGAGAGGGAGGCAGAGGACTGACTGCTTAGTGGAGGTTGGGGCTGGAAGGGCAAAGAAGTTTCTGGACCCATTGGCCTAGAAAGGCTTAAGGATGTGGTGACCTAGTGGGGTGAAGGGCCAACTTCACCCACTACCCATTCCTTGCTCTCATCTTCTCTCTCTTATCCTTTCCATCCAGGGATCTATTGGCTTCCCAGGGGCCCTGGGACCATTAGGCGAGAAAGGGAGGCGGGTGAGTAGTGATCTAGGGGTCAGGGAGAGGGAGGGGCTTCCCCTTGTGACCTGCATGACTGTGTCCGGGTCTGTGCCTGGATGCATTTGCATGCATGGGGTCTGGGTGGTGCAGCCCATGGGCCTGTGATGGTTACAAAGGCATGAACTTGCATGTGCAATGTGTGTCCATGGCATGTGAGGTAGATGGACATGTGTGTGGAACAGTGTGGGCACCCATGCATGTGTTTCTGCGCAGCTGTTTTTGCATGCGTGAATCGCTTTGCTGTGTGTGTGCCTGTAGCAAGTACTATAGTCTGCTTGCATGTAATGGTGTAAGTGCATATTGTATGATGCACATCATGTATGTTCAGGTTTCCCCTGCTATCTGAAAGAAGGCTTCCTGTGAAACCTCTCACAAGTTGAAATGGTGTTAAGTGAAGTAATAAAATCATTCATTTACATATAGATTTTTTGAATGTTCCTATACCCAAAATATAAGCCATCACATCATGACAGTAATACAATAAATTTAAAAGCATCCTAACATATAGTAAAAGCAGGGATGCTGTGGTGAATACACTAAATTTGCACTTGATGTCATCCATAGCATCTTGGAAACTGCAGCTTTAAGTGAAAGACTCAGCAAAAGCAGCTCCTTGAATGGGGTTTCACTCACTGTCAGTGGGACCCCCTTCCCTCATGGACCCTCTAAGGAGGTGACATTGAGGAGAGTGACTACTTGAGGACCTGTGCACAGCCCGTGCAATGGAGGTCAGGGCAGGGGGCCTTGCCGAGACCCCTCCGGGTCCCTGCCTCATGACGCTTCACTGCAAAACAGACGCTGTGCTGTACCTCCTTCTCTTCTTTTGTCATAAAAGCGAAAATCCCCTGAGGAATTCTTTCTATTAGTGAAGACAGGTGCTGCCTCGGTCTTTCGTAAAAGCCAAGTGGCATGGTGGGAGCTTTCAAAAGTGGGGGCCTGCGTGTCCTGCTGTGCTGTGGGAAGTGTGTCCTCACGTGACCCATGCCTCTCTGGGCAACATGGGACACCCTGCAGGCACAGGGGCGCCCGCTTGCCGCGCTCTCGTAAGTGGGTGCCTGGGGCAGCGAGCTCGCTTGGCGCAGCTAAGTGCCCACTCCGTGTCTGTGGCCTGTGTGACCTTCTGTGTGCAGGCTGTGCGTGCGTGTGAGAGAGAGACTTGGGCATAAGTGCACCCAGGTGTCCTTCTGGGTCCTGACCCGGCGCCTCTGTGTGTCTGTGTCCTACCTTTCAGCATAGTGCTTTTGCCTCCCCCTCACCTGATTTATATTTCAGGGGAAGGCGGGCCAACCAGGTCTGGAAGGAGAGCGGGGACCACCAGTAAGAACCAAAAGAGCTGCCCCACCCTACTAGCCACTGGGGGCTGTGAAGGGGAGGTAGTGGGGAGGTCTTGAGGGGCCAGGAAAGAGGGTTTGGGTTAAATCTGTATTTTGGCAGGCCAGAAGAGGGGGTTGTGGCGGGGGCTCATGGAGGGGTCTCGGGGAGGGAGGGGACCCAGAAGACTTGGTCTTAATCTCCTACCTTCTCACTTTTAATCTTTGCTTCTTTTCTGTTTAGGGGTCTCGTGGAGAAAAGGGGCAATTGGGTGCTACTGGACAACCAGGTCCCAAGGTATGGGGTGGGTGGTCAGGACCCCCACATAGACCCTCTGTTCTGGGCTCACTGTGCTCCTCCCAGTCCCTTCTAGTTGTGTTGTTCCCAACCTGAGTCTCACCCATTCTGTCCTAGGGCGATGTGGGTCAGGATGGGGCCCCTGGGGTCCCTGGAGAAAAGGTGAGTGTGTGTGTGTGTGTGTGTATGTGTGTCGAGTGGGGGTGGGGGGCAATTCCAGCGGTGGAGATACATAACAATGCAGAATGTGAAAAGAGCATAGCCTTTGAGGTCAGAGGGACATGAGTTTAACTCCTCGCTCTGCTACTCACCTGCTGTGTGACCTTGGGAAAGTCCCTTACCTCTCTGGCTCGCAGCTTTCTCCCTATCAATGACTATAACCACAGTCCCCAGCCCAGCAGACTGCAGTGGTGAATGAGTGACCTGGTGCTGGAGGACTGCGGGCAGCGCTGGGCCTGCATTGCATTCCGGGTACCCAGGATGCAGCTGCTGTGTGGGCTGGGGAGGGTCCAGCAGGAGGGGTGAGATGAGGACTTGTGGTTCCGTTTCAGGGCCTCCCAGGTCTACAAGGCTCTCCTGGATTCCCTGGGCCAAAGGGTCCCCCCGTAAGTGAGCTCGCCTTGACTGGGAACAGGTGGGAGGGGGTGTCTCGCAGGGGAGAGTCCTTATTTGTGTCTCAACTCTCTCCCACCTTGTCCTCCAGGGTCCCCAAGGGAAGGACGGGCGTATGGGACACCCTGGACAGAGAGGAGAACTGGTGAGTGTAACCCCTTGACTTCTGATCCCTGATCCTATTAAGCTCTTAACTTTCCCCTCCCATGCAACACCCCTATTTTATTTCCTTCTCAGGGCTTCCAAGGTCAGACAGGCCCACCTGGACCAGCTGGTGTCGTGGGTCCTCAGGTTAGAATGCACTTCTACAGGTGTCCCCAGTTTTGCAGCAGTTGGAGGATCCTTGGGGGGAAGGTGGATCTCAGATACCAAACCCCACCCCAGGCCATCTCCATTCACGATGAGCCTTCTTCCTTTCCAGGGAAAGACAGGAGAAACAGGGCCTCTGGGTGAGAGGGGACCCCCAGGGTCCCCTGGACCACCTGGTGAACAAGGTCTACCAGGCCTGGAAGGCAGTGAGGGCACCAAGGTGAGCCTGCTTCTTGGAGGATGTAACCCCAAATGTTCCTAGTGGTTTCATGCTACCTCATAGCTCACAATCAGCCCTCGTGGAGGAGGTCACCAGACTCACAGACTGAGGGGTAGACACCCCTGCTTGGGAACCTGACCTCTCTCTTCCAAACTACTGCAGGGGGACCTGGGGCCACCGGGACCCCTCGGAAAGGAAGGGCCGCCTGGCCCTAGGGGCTTCCCTGGCCCTCTCGGAGCCCGCGGGGACCTGGTAAGTACAGTTGACTCCCTCCTGCCTGTGACTGCTGGGCTGTGAAGCAGAGAAGAAAGGGGGAGCTCAGGGTGGGGCATGGTGATGGCATCCTGGGGTACCTAGGAAGTACAGGGTGGCCCCTGGAGTGACCCCGGGTGACAGACCCCTGCACCTCAGTGCCTAGGCAGGGGGTGGAGATGTGAGACCCCCAGAGTGAAGGAGGCACTCTTGGGCCTTGACTGTGAGTCATCTCCTCCCTTAGGGACCTACTGGTTTGAAGGGTGACAAGGGCCCTCCAGGCCCCATCGGGGCCAACGTAAGTGTGACCTCATCTGCTGGGTGGGGGGGGGAAGGGTGGAGGGAACTCAGGTTGTCATGATTGGGTCTGATGTTTGGGGAGTCACATGGATCTCTGCTTCTCACTGACCCACTCACTCGGAGAGCCTCAGTTTCCTCACCTGTGCGTAGTGTCACCTGTTTAGGGTGGCAAATGTCAGTGAGAAGGTCCTCATGACACATACTTAGCTCATGTGCCAGACATAGGCACAGAAGCCCTGCTTTCTCCTGGAGCGGATGTTCAGGTGGGCCAAGAGCTGGTGAGTGCCAGGCAGCACAACAACCCAGAAAAGGGCAAGTTTGGGAAGAAGAGTTGAGACAGGCTGGTCAGCAGAGGCTTTCCTGAGGTGGCATTTGCATCAGGACCTTAAGGAGCAGGCTGTGGCTCTCTGGGGACAGGCCCAGGAGAGGGGGGAGCATGCTTAAGGCCCTGAGGCCTGGCAGCTGCTGAACAGGGAGCGAGGAAGGAGGCGAGGGCAGGAGAGTGGCTGGGGGAAGGATGTGCAGGACTGGCTTTCCCTGAGCCAGATAGGAGCCATGGAGGGTTCTGAGCAGAAGAGGGACCAGACCAGACTCAGGCATGGCTGCTGGCTCAGGGCCTGAGTTCAGTAGTTTGAAGTCCCCTGTACATGAGTTAGGATTGTTGTTTACTCCCGACTTTCCATTCCTTTTCAGGGCTCCCCTGGGGAGCGTGGTCCTGTGGGTCCAGCAGGAAGCATTGGGCTTCCTGGTCAAAGTGGAGGCCAAGGCCCTGTGGGCCCTGCAGGCGAAAAGGGGTTTCCAGTAAGTGTCTGACTCCCTGTTCCTCAGGCATCCTCAGGTTCCTGCCCTCCCACATAGCAGCACCCCACTCTGCCCTATCCCTTAATATCCTCCACTCTCCCTGGCAGGGTGAACGTGGCTCCCCTGGCCCCACTGGAAAAGATGGGATCCCAGGGCCCCTGGGCCTACCTGGACCCCCTGGAGCTACTGGGCCTTCTGGAGAGGAGGGTGACAAGGTGAGAGTTCACAGAGAGAAGGGAGGAGAGAGGGCCTTGGGGGGGAGGGGTGACGGCTTTGCTGGTCCTCTTTCATCCTATTCCTTCTGCAGGGAGAAGTGGGAACCCCTGGTCACAAGGGGAGCAAAGGTGATAAGGGGGATGCGGTGAGTGCTGGGAAAGGGGGGTGCCTGGGAGGGAGAGAGGGGGTGGTAGATGGCTGGGGGAAAGCAACAAAACTTCTGGCCCTCTTGATCTCAGTTTTGACAACTGCCAGTGACAAAATCTACTTGGGATAAGGAGGCTAATTGCTGAGTTGCGGGGCCCCAGGGGACCATCTGTCTCCCTGTCTCCCCTTCCTGTGGCACAGCCTTCTCTCTGCCCACAGCTCTGCATGGCCTGGAGGCCTCACTTTCACATCACAAGCCAGCTCAGCCCTGATCTGGGTGCCGGAGGGTCAGGCTCCTTCAGTGGTGGCTGGGAAGGCAGGACTGGGGGGTTGGGGGAGAGGCGGCTCTTGATTCCTGGTGTGGGGTCAGAAAATGACCCTTTAGTTCTCTTCCCCACCAGTTTGAGTCTGAGGGTTTTTCAATTCTGTTCCCCTTCCCAGGGCCCACCTGGACCAACTGGCGTACAGGGGCCTGTGGGGCACCCAGGCTCCCCGGTGAGTGCTCCCAGCCCTGTGACTGACCTCTGGGCCCTTGAGGGAAGAGACAGTGTCCCACACTCTGACTAGATCTGACCTCAGCCCTCTCCCTCCACACCAGACCCAACATGAACTCACCCCTGAATCTGACGCAACCCAACTGCAACTCAACCCTGAAGTCTCTCACGGTTCTTAACTCAGTTCATGACATCAACCTCAATCCCATCTCAAACCATATCTTCAAATCTCACATTAGCCAGACCTTGACCATTCTACCCTGAGCCCCAGCCCTGATCTTGATCCGGAGCTCAAACTCTGAATCTCACCTTGACCCTAACCTCAAACCCAGCCCTAAAGTATTTGTCATCCCCATCTGAACCCTCTCATGACCCCCACCTCAACCTCCATCTTTCTACCCAATGTCACCCCAAATCTTTTTGGTGTGTTTTTAAAAATAATATAGTTTATTTTTACATCCTTTAGTACATTTTATTTTCATCTCAATTGTAATCCCTGTGTATTTCCCATCACCAAGTCACCCACGTGCCATCACCATAGTCCAGCGCACTTCCCTCCCCCCACTGTTTTTCATCCCATTCCCACTCCACCCCCACAAAATGTCTCTGGTATATGGCTGTTCATTCTTATTATTATTTTCTCACCTGGTCGATTATACTCCTGCTATGAGCGAAACCATCTGGCATTTTTCTTTTTCTTTCTGGCTTATCTCACTAAGCACTCCATCCATGTAGCTGCAAAAGGCATGTGTTTATTTTTTTTTTTTTTGGTTGTTGAGTAATATTCCATTGTGTATAT